CTGCATATTAAGGGAACTTTAAAAATTCAAGTCTATGAGCTGAAAATTTCTTTCAATAAAATAAGACAAGGACCCTTTTATATCCCACGTGGAGTTTATGGAAAAGAAAGGAGATGCAGTGTTTTAGAAAAATAAGGCACGATCATTGGCAGGGATGCCAATGTGTGTGTGTGTGTGTGTGTGTGTGTGTGTGTACTAGTCAGTTTTATGTCAACTTGACACAAGTTAGAGTCATCAAACAGGAGGGACCCTCAACTGAGAAAATGTCTTCCTAAGTATGGGCTGCTGGCAAGCCTGTAGTACATTTTCTTAATTAGGGTCTGAAGAGGGGGGGCGCAGTTCATTATGGTTGGGCCACCGTAGACTGGTGGTCCTGATTCCTATGAGAAAATAGGCTGAGCAAGTCAAGAACAGCAAGCCAGTAAGCAGTACCTCTCCATGGCCTCTGCATCAGCTTCGGCTTCCAGGTTTCTTTCCTGCTTGAGTTCTTCCCCTGACTTCTTTTGATGACAAACTGTGATGTGTAAGTACAAGCCAAATAAACCCTTTCCTCTCCAACTTGCTTTTGGTCATAATTCATCCCAGCAATAGTAACCCTAACTAAGACAGTGTATTCATGTGGGGGAAGAGTTTCTGTATTCTATGGATACATGTACTTGTTGAGGTAACAGGTTGAAATTAGACATTTTCTTTGATTACTCTTCACCTGATGTTTTGAGACAAGGTAGGTATCTCACTGAACCTGGAATAATCCAGTTCAGAAAACTTGTCAGTGATCTCCAGGGATCACTTGTCCCCACTGACTGAGATTCTAAATGTGTGAATTTTTTATGTGAGTGTTGGCGATCCAAATGTATGTCCTCATCCTTCTATAGTAAGTGTTCTACTGACTGAGCCATCCCCGCAGTCCCTGAATAAAGACTCTCCTTACTCAGTCCCTGCTACATGCTCTAGGTCTGATTGTTGCTTTGGTCATTTAAACCTCTTGAATCCTCTGAATTCTTCTGAAGCTGTTTCCTTACCTAACACCTTCTGTGATGTATTCCAGCTTTTCTCATAAGTTTAGCTTCTGGTTTTAGGTCATTCCCTGACCTGGTGGCTTCAGGGTGCCATCTCTGCCTGTGTGGCTGGAATACGGGTGCTTGCAGGTAGGTGGCCATGCTCACCTCACTCCACACTCTGCTCAGGCCCCAGGAACTCTCAACCTCATGGAACACAGTGTGGTCAAGAGCTCTGCATTTCCTCAATCTGATGCTTCACCTACGAGAGCCTTAATTTTTTAAACTGGAGTTTGGACTGTCAAATGGGGATAGTAATACCATGAAACTTCCATAACTAGAGGAAGACTGAGCGCAGTCATTTACAAGTTCTAGAAGAGTCCCTGGACTGGAAGCCACTGGTAAATGGTGGGCTGGCACTACCCTTGCTCCATGCATATTCCCTGACTACTTAGGATCATTTCGAATCATCTGCTATACGTGAAGGGAAAACAGGGGTTCACTCTAAACGTAGAAGTTCTGTATTTTTTAGCTACCATTCCGTGCAACTGGTTACTGCTCACTTGGGCAAATCTATCATATTTCATCCGTTCTTTTTCATTTACACATTTCACGTCTCAGAATTCAGGATGTCAGTTTTATATTTCACAACGTTCTCAGTAGTAAAAATTATGGTTTATTCTGTCATCTTAGCATCAATCAAATGGAGTATTTATTTTATTGATCCTTCTGAAGGAAGTTATATTTTTTTAAAGAGTTATGGTTTTAATTTCAATTTATTCCATGAAAAAAAACCCATATCACTAAACACCCTGGGAAAGAGCTGAACCATCAGAATGGATAAATATTTGTTGTAATAAATGAAGAATAAAAGGAGATTTTATAATGGGATTCCTAGAACTCAGAAGCCCAAATTGTTCTGAGTTCATCTCTCAGCTTCATACCCCACATGAGTCATATTCTCAGAACAACACTATTGCTATCTATCATTTACATTCCTTAGACACAAGAAGATTCCTTAATTAGCCATGTATGGGGTCATAAACTTTAACACTGATAATATGTCTTTAATTTATTGGAACACATGAGAGCTTGGACTATCATCTTATCATTATTATTAATTTTTTGAGGTTAAATATATCATTTCTCCTTCCCTTTCATACCCCCAACCTTCCTTATGTACCCCAACTAGTTCTCAAATTCATGGCCTCAGTTCCTTTAATTGTCGTTACTTATATATCTATTTATGTGTGTGTATAGTTCTAAATATATAGATACAGCCTACTCAGTCTGTATGATGTTATGTCTATGTATATGATTTTAGGCTGATCACTTGGTATTGAATAACCAACCTGGGGGCTCTTCTCTGGGGAACACTATTTCTCCTGCTTTCAGCATTCCTTATTAGTTCTTTGAGGACCCATGAGATTCCCTCCTTCCATGCTAGCATGTCAATTGGTGTCATCTGTTCAAGTATTGTGAAGACAATCACATCCAATATTATTGTTATTAACACCCTATTTAGCTCTCAGAAGTACACTGTTCTAATGACAAATTGTATAGCCCCACATAAAGATAATGAAAGGTTGAAATCTTTGCCTTTAATGTGCCATATATATTTTTTTAAAGATTTATTTATTTATTATGTATACAACATTCCTCCATGTATGCTTACATGCCAGAAGAGGGCACCAGATCCCATTATAGATGGCTGTGAGCCACCATGTGGTTGCTGGGAATTGAACTCAGGACTTCTGGAAGAGCAGTCAGTGTTCTTAACCTCTGAGCCATCTCTCCAGCCCCCACCATATATTTTTTTAAAGATATATTTCCTTGATCATGTGTAGGTGTATGTCTGTGTAGAGGTACAAGTGTGTATGGATGCTGTGTTTTTGAAGGCCAAAGACATCAGACATTCCTAGAGCTAGAGCTTAAAGTAGTTATAACATTACTGACTTCCATGCTGGGAATTCAGCTCAGGGTCTCTGCTAAGTGCCCTTACCTTCTGAGGTACCCCTCGAGCTCGAATGCTCCAGATGCTAAATGTGTAGTTATTATTTGCTTCTGGTTAGCCATTTGCGTGGCTTAGCTAGAATCTAACCCTCCATAGTTTTGCCAAGTAATAGCAAGGCAATGGGAAGCTAAACAGACATGGCTTCACTCCTGGAATAGAAGGACTCAAATATCAAAAAGTGTCAGAGATTCTCAGAAGTACAAAATGGCAGATGGCTCACAAAATGCAGTGCAGGAGAGGTGAGTGGGGCCCACAGGCAGCAGAAACACACTTGAATTGTTCCGTGACCCCAGAAGGACAGCATTTCCATTTGTTTCCATGCATCCAGAATGCCCACATTTTTTTTAATACATCTCAATGTGAGAAGATGTTCTAGCACAAACAGGTCCTCTGAAAGTGGACAGGAAGTAAAGACTGTGGGAGTGTAAAAGTTTGGAAATAGGGGTTCATCTCTCATGTGCGACATGATTTGAGTAACCCCAATCTGATGAGAATAGTGAGGTGTGAAGGAGGAAGAGACAGAGCAACAGTCAAAGCCTAGGAATGAGCTTTTTCCTGGTTCTAGGTGAACTTCCTGCCTGATTCCTCTTGGAATAAAGCTCTTCCCAGAAAGAGCTGCCAAGAGCCAGCAAGCCTGGCCTTCAAAACAAGATCTCCAATTACCCACACAACACCAGGTGTGTAAATTGTCGTCTGAAGTCCTGTGTGATTAACTGGCTAGTTTTCCATTTAACTATTACATAAAGAGCACATTTCCAATACAAATAGCCTCACCAAAGAAGGATAGTTAAACAGTTACTTAAGTCTACCCACTAAAAGCCAGGAAAGAAAAGGGATTAGTTCATGTGCCTGCAAATTTTGGTGGTACCCATTCATCCACAGGCTCAGAGTGGATCCAGAAAAGTTAAAGGCATCCAATCCAGGCTATACTAACTGAGCCACAACTGTACTAAAACCTTCCGTCAATTCTTCAAAGAGAAGAGAGGACAGCAGCGAGATTATCTGTATTGGCTTTTATCTAATGATGTGTAATTGCTGTATGAATTTCACATGCATTTTTAGTGCTCTTATATAACACGTCTTTCTCTCTCACACACTTGGGGTTGGAGAAATTCAGTTTTAGATCCTGACACTGCCAACCATCAGCAAATCTTTGAACCACTTTCTTCTTCGATACAATGGGGGATGCTACGATCAAATGGGAAGTCCTTGTTGATTCCCAAGCATTTAAAACAGTAATAAAATAATGTCTCCCAGTGCACAGCGCAAAGTAAGTCTCAGTAAAAGTAACAGATATGATAGTGATTTGATTATTAGTAAACCTAGGTTATAATTTCATATTTATAAATCATGGTTTTCTTAAGTTAATACAGGTCTAATAATAGCTACTCTGACTCTTTATCCATGTTGTTTTTGAGATAAATATAGTATACGAGATCATCATTAAAGCTACTGGTTCTTTTACAATTGTAATGTACCCCTTCCTGTCTAATGGACATATCCCCTTAGAACCCCTTATTTGTTTTCTTAAGCAAATTTTTGAAGTGCAGGAGACTCGGTGTTTTTGTTGCTCCTGTTAGCAATGGACACATGGGGGACTCAATACAGTTGTCATGACAGGAAGGAAGATGTTAAACCAAGTTTTTTCCTATAAGAATTTTCTTTCTTATCTTGCCCTCTGCATGTTTCTACTTGTATTTGAATCAAGTAATTTACTATTTAAGATCTCACCTGTCACCATACATTCTATTTATAGATCCATTTTTATAACCAAGTACCAATACACACTGAGAGTGATTTTCAGTCTTGTCCTTTACTGTGACCTTGGGCAAATGAACCTCTATATGCCAACCACCCACAGGGGCAGCCAACCGACCCCAAAGGACTGCTACAACAGCTAAATGAGCATTAAATGCTGTGATGAGCAAAACTTTGCTCAGCGCAGCATCTTGTCTAAGCCGCAGACTGTCTCCTTGGACTTGGCTGACCTGTGGATGATGCGCTGGCTCTGCAGGTAGTCCAGGGCCATGGCCAGCTCACAAATGAAGAGCTTCACTGTGTCTTCCTGAAAGTGGACATTTTGCTGCAGGTGATAACGCAGGTCCCCACCAAGTAGCAGATCCACCACCATGAACATGTCCTCTTCATCTTGGAAGGAATACCTGGAACAGCATTAGAAAAGTAAGTATCAGGGCTGGCGAAATGGCTCAGTGGGCAACATGCTTGCATGTAAGAAGGAGGACCTGAGTTCGAATCCCCAGCACCCAAATAGAACCATGGCATGGTGGCTAGTGTGAGAACGCCCTGCACTGGGAGCCAGACATAGGCCAATCTGAGGTTATGGGAAGGCCTCTCTGGCCAGCCTGTCTTACCAAGGTGATGAGCTTCAGGTTTGTTTAGACAACCTGTCTCAAAAGTAAGGTAGACAAGCAATTGAGGAAAGACAATGTCAACCTTGGCTTCCATGTATGCCTACATGAGAGAGTGCACCTGTGTGCACACACGAGCACACATGCAAAGCACACATAAATTTAAAGTTAAACACCAACTACACATACAGGATAGAGTAGGAGGCAAACCCTACTAGGTTGCCATTATGCTTCCATTCCTTAGGAAGAAAGTAGGGAACAGTGATGCTTAGGTGACCTCTACAAAGAATTCTCCAGGGACAAAATGAAATAGGAAAGAGAACAAGATCACATCATCAAGCAGAAACAAATGATTAATCTCTGTGGATGGGGAACAGTTCAGCCTGTTAGGACACCAGGTATGATGGGGAAGCCTGAGTCTGGGGGAGAATGCATGGACTAGTTCTATGGCAGGAACTCATTCACAAATCTACAGACATTGGAGGTCACTGGCATTGTGATGCCTGCTGTATGAGCAGATCCCAGCTCTCCATTTGAAGGAGAATGGAGCTGGGGACTGGGAGACGGAATGAGACACAGGCACATGGTTCCTGGCTGCTTAGCATAAGCAGAGCCTCCAGCAGAGATATGGGGACCTGCTTAGATGCACAGCACCTTGGTAAAGACTCTCTTCTCCAGTGGGGATTTGTTTTGTTGTGCTTGTGGCTCAGGCATGATGTACTGTCACGACAAAGCTATCTAAAGCAATACTGCTTTGATGTGTTTCTGTTCTCCTAACATCACTGCAATCATATTTTGAAGTTTCATTTGCATTAAAGAACTAAGTGCCTGCAAGCAGTACCCGAGGAAGCATATAAATTCACGGTGATGAATTCTCTGCTCAGGAGTAACTGTTGATCACCAATGACAGGACAGATCCTACAGGTTGAGGGGGGATTTATAAACAATAAGGAATAAGAATATCAACAAAGCATTAGTCTAAGGAGGTGATGGTCTAATGAAGACTGATGGTCCCTGATGTTCGCTGGTTCAATAAACAAAATTTCATAGTCACAGTGAAGATATCAGAACTTAAGCTCTTGGGAAATTATGACAAATGCAGGAAGTGATTTTTCAAACTTTGAGATGTGAATGTTTGGTATTATCTTTAGGAATTATGTATCCTCTATACCTTGACGGGATGTCTGGCTGGCTATCGCTGCTTCAGGTTTAAAGGGCACCAGGAAAGCTGCTGGGTAGAGACACTTCCATTTGAAATCCTTCCAACTGCACCAAAAGCAAATTTTATCCCCTGTGTTCTGGAGATCTTTCAGTGAGCCTCCCTGGGTAGTTAGTATGTAATCACACCCAAGGTCTCTCACACCTCACGCTGCTCCCAGCAGTGGAGCAGAAAACGTCCTTGCTCATGGGCTGAGCTGCTGCTGACCCACTAAGGACGGTGAGAATGGGATACCCAAAGAAGGGAAAATCCAATCATACGTATAACTACAAGTCAGGGGAAAAATAGCCCGTGGAGCAGACTTATGCTACACTCTACTGTTGGTTGCACGCTCACCTGCTGACACACCCAGGGGCTCCCTCTCCTCTCCTATTGCCACACTAAGCTCTAAGTGTAAATATTTCTTTTACTAAATTCAGTCTCGACAGCAAACCTTTTTACTAAGGCTTGAGTTAGGCGATTTTTATCCACAGAACAGACAGATGCGAGTGTCAGCGGTGACAAGCTAACAAGAGTGTCCCAACATGCAGGGGATTAATAAGCAAAGGGAAAAGAGGCCATGGCAAGAAGCGACATGCTCAGCTGGCCAGCAGTCAAGTCTGATTGCTAAGAACCATCTTCCTTCTTTAGCTCATCACATCTGAAGCCTACTTGGGATTCTTAACTCTCAAAGGGAAAAGATGAGTGTTTAATTTTTTGAAAATATTTAATTAAAAATATGCAGGCATAATATTATTTAGTGATACACAGAATGCTTGGATTCTTAGCATTATCTGATTGTTTAAAATACAAAAACCTTCCTGGTAACTCAGCCACATGTCACAGAGACTCACAGCTGGGTTTCTGTGGCTATTGTTTCCTGTGTCATAGCATGGCATAGTTCTGAGCTGGCTATGCTCACCTTAACAAGTCTAGCCGTGACGCATGTGAAATTCACTAGGTTGCATGTTCATTACATCATCAGATACTCCCACAGGTCAATCTGATGGAAGCAGTTTATAAACTGAAGTCCCCCCCCCTTCCCAGGTGGCTCTAGTTTGTGTCGTTTACAAAACACTAACCGGCAGAGTGGTAATCACTCTCTCTCTCTCTCTCTCTCTCTCTCTCTCTCTCTCTCTCACACACACACACACACACACACACACACGCACAACACACAAAAACATGTGTACATGTGCATGTATGTGTATGCACAGAGTACATATAATGGATATATTTTAAAAGACATGATATATACAAAATAAAAAGAAAATAAACTGATGGTTCATGCATAAAATTCTCTGCCAAAAAGTTACTTTGTCTAAATGATGAGATTTATACATAATTTTTATTTTATAGTTTTTATTTTCTATTTTACTTGATACTGAAGTGTAAATATACATGAGAAGAATACTTTCTTCTATTTGTATCCAATATGAGTTGCCTCACTGGAAAAAGGAGCTAACAATGTCAGCTTCTGATCTGTATAACTCACACTAGGAATATTCGCCAAATACAGACTCAGTGTCCATAGTTCCATACTACACAAATATTCCTTTCTTTAAATTGAACTACTCACTGTATGACCCTGGAGGTCAGGGTAGTGGAAAGAGTGTGAAGACACATAACTAACATGAAAGACCTTTGAAAACTCAAATGGAAACCACTACAGTAGACACTTCCTAAAACAGTCATAGACATAGACTTGTGTGTCATATATAAAAGGTGTTTAATCATTCTATAAGAGGGGATTTTTTCCTCTTCTTTTTTTTTCTTGCAGACAACATAGCCTATCAAAATAAAATCCCAGAGACACATATGGGGTTACCTACTTTCAAGTCATTTGTAAATGTGGTTCCATAGACCGTCCCACCTTTGGTCTATTACAAGCTATTGCCAAAATAAAAGAGTGAAAGTACAAAAAAAAAAAAAAAAAAAAAAAAAAAAAAAAAAAAAAAAAAAAAAAAAGCTATTGCCATTACCTCCAAAACTAGATGGTAAATGCCTATTGGTAAAGCCACACCAGGAATTTGAGTCATAGGCATGGAGAAAACAAACTGGTACTAACCTGGAAGCTTCACCATTACTGGATAGCCTGCACAGTTCTGCAATGGTCTAAGAGTTCTAGGATTAGAAAAAAGTTAATCCCCAGTATTGCCTGATTGTGGAACCTGCAAGCTACCATAGCGAATATTCTGACATGGTAAGCCCAACAGTGCGGAGACGGCGTGAATGTTATGGGAGTAGCCAACCTCTCTATAACTGTATTTAAGGTCAACTCCATAAGAAAGAATGCATGCTTAATAATATTAATTTGGGACAAACCACCTGTCTGGCTAGTCCTTAGGCCTATGAGAGAATCCAATACTTTATTCTGCTAAATGAACACAGTATTAAATTGTCCCATAAGTTCTTATTTTAATATATATTAGTGCATGGTTCAACCCTCATTAACGAACTTTCTTTTCATTGGTGTCTTTACCAATAGGGACTCATTCATCAATTAACTTCCTTGTTAGAAGATAGTGATTAAAGCAAGAACTCACAACTGGTCAGCATGCATAGATAGAATAAGAAAGTGTGGTGCGCTCAGCTCCAAATGGAACATCTATATCACACACATTCTACAAGTCTCAAGGACATCACGAAAGAGGGGGCATAAAAATGGTGAGACAAGCTCCAAAAGCTACAGAGAAACCCTGTCTCAAAAAAAAAAAAAGTGAGAGTTGGGGGTAGTGAATAACTGCATAACAACAATGTTTTTTAGACATGACAAGACCATTCACACGTGAATCACTATCGCACTGACTGTGTGCATAAGATCTGTAGAAGATCAAGTCAGCTAAGATCCAGTCATGGAAGGAGGAGTTCAGGATGGCCCACCTGTATCTGAGGAGCCATTGGCAACTGATAGCTACTGAGGCAGGGCAACTTAGTTTGTATGCAGCCATTGAGAATCTCCCCTTGCTTCAGTAGTGGTCCCACACCCATGTGCACACTGTCAGCACTAAGTGGCTCAGTGAGTCTGGGGAAAGGAATGGGAAGGTATCCAAGGAGTTAGAGGGGAGGGAAAGAAGGGTGAATTTGATCAAAACACATAATATTCATGTATGAACTACTCGAACTGTTTTTATAAGAAACTTTTATAGATCCTTTGGATTTTGTATTCCATTGCTTCTCTGACCAACATCTTTTATATTCTAGCAAAAGTTTTGTTAAAAGACCAAATTTTTTTTTTTGTCACAGTACTTCAGAAGGCTGGAGTTCTGCAAATGACATGTATGTCTCACATCTGATATTCATCACAGGTATGTATTTTGTAGAAACTGGTAGACTGATCCAAAGACTTACTGAAATTAATGTTTATTTGGGGGAAATGCAAAGCCACTTTACAGCTGAGTCTATGCACTTTAATAAACAATTGCCATTATGCATCACTGTCTAGAACCTAAAGTTCTTTCAGAGTGGTAAAATTAAAGTCTGTCATTTCTCCTTTATGTTTTAAATGGAGTACTTTAATAAGGAAAAATGATTTAATAAACTATTTAGTTATGGTGAGGTGTGATTCAGAAAGGAAAGATTGAAACATGTTTAA